TGTAGGAGATTGGCTGGGCTTTTTTATTGTTATGCTTCTGCACCTCTTGTCTCACTAACTAGATGATGTGGAGGCCACATGGAATGGGGTTACATTGCTAGATACCATCCACAATGTGCAGCTAGATGGATGAAACAGAATGAATCTAAAAATTTCATTACAGATGTTTAAGGGTGGACACTGGAGAAAGTTGCATAGAAATTTACTACAGTGATGTGAACAAGAGCTGCAAAAAGTTACTTACCGGGATCTAACGATGCTTCAGGGATTTCTGTTGAAGAGAAATGGTGTTAACAAGAGCTGCAAACAGATCCACCCTGTTTTCCTCAAGAGGAACATGGTGCCTCGTGGCGAACAGATCCAGTGACTCCAATCATCTGTTATACATTTTCAGGCAGGGGAAATGGCTTTCTGCTGGAATTTGCCATAATTGCCGGGTGACTGATGGAGGGACACTTGTCCCCACATGGGCAGCACGACGCCCAACACACTATTATAACCTCATTGTCATGCTAAGAGAGCAGATCCTCTCTGGTTCTCCGAAAGAGTGCCACGACATGACTGACGTAGACCGAAAAGACTACATTCTGCGAACAAGATTTTCTAGACATCTAGTTATGGTCGCAACATGTTGTGTGTTTCAAATATCCTAATAATGCAGCGATGATATGTATATATCCTGCTGGTGCAGTGGCCACATCTTGGCATCTTGCCTCTACTCTCTCTGATGTGTTTCCCCCTTGAACATTTTCTCCCTCGGTTTTCTTCTAAAAGCGCTGGTAGCTTGCAAGTAGCTGCCACCGAATTATGTGACATGATCGACATGCTGCACCGTCTTGTCTACTTGGTTCTCTGTATGTTCTCCATCCCACGTCTACTTTTGTTTTGAGCCCAGAACTGACAGTTTGATTTCATGGATTCTTCACTCCTCTCTCGGCGTTCCAGCATATAGCTGGCGCAGTGTTCAAGAGCTGATGTGAATCTTCTGTTTGCAAACAGTTTTTTACTCTTTGAGAAATTGAGATTGCTAACCACCCTATCCCACATGGTCAAAACATTGCATATGCAATGACACCATTCGTTTTGTCTGGTTCCATTGGAGAATAGTGAGTCAGCAACTGCTCATTGATGATTCTATGCTATTCCCATGGATGCAAGCACACTAACTAGGGCTCTAAAAGTAAAAGGAGCCCAGTGATAACATTAGCAAAAAGCTTACAGGCAAAAAAGGGGAAATGATGGGGAAAAAATTCAGAACTTCCGATTTTTTATTCTTAATCCTAACACATCTCACCTAAACGAGTACTGTACCCATGACCCTTAATGCACTGAATACGCCTCCCAACGTAAGGTTGCTTGCATGTGGACTCAGAAAATGGTTATACATAGCTCACCTCAAAATGGATCATGTATCCATACCAATATTCTGTCCCATCATGTTTTACTTATCAAGAGAAAATATTGTACCCCTCAAAAAAAAAAGAGAAAATATTGTTCAATGTTTTTTCCTATGAAATAGATGGTACTGTAATATATAGCTGCATGATGTGGGTATTTAACTCTAAAGAAGCTAAGCCACATTAACCTAGTAATCCATACTTGAGATTTAGACACAAACAATGGAAATAGAAATTAAAATGCAGTAATAATTTTCTGAGAAGGAACTTACTTCAGAATGAAGCCACCAGACACATCACCAAAAAAGCAGAGCTACCCAAGGGGAAAAAACTTCTGAATTCCTCGTCGCTTCCTTTAATAATAAAAAATCCTGTTCTACAACCAAAATGGGAATGTGTTTAAAACCATGAGACCAGAACTGATAAAAAACAGCAAAGTAAACCACACAGAAAATTATTTATTATCTTCTTATCAAGAAATACAACTTTTTTTGAGTTACAATAGTATACAACCATTTATGTGTTTACAGAAAATTCTGAGCAGACCTCCCTAGATACAAACATATCAAAAGTCAACACTATTCAGAAGCAATTAAGTATCCGTGTCGTGTGTACAATTGGCTATAGCCAGGCCAAAAGCCTCGCATTTCAAGAAAATCTTCATGCCTCCTCTGATTGGCGCATGAGTTCAAGTAAGCTAGAAGCTTTCCTTTTTGCGCGGTCTGTGCCGGTTTCTGACAGCTCCTTGAGCGCATCTTCCCCTCCAGCCGCCTTTGCAGCCATGGTTTGTTCAGCATCAGCAGAACAGAGAGACCATAGAATGGCTGCCGCGTTCTCTCTGTTGCGAGGAGAGCCAGTTTTGATCACCTCGACTAGTGGAGGCATTGGCTCTGATTGTGTGATTACAGACTTGCCTTCTTGATTGCCGGCAAGAATCGACAAAAGAGTGAGTGCCTCGTCAATCATTCCCCCAGTGGGATCCACCAAGAAGTTCATCAGATGGGTGACGATTCCAGCTTTCACCGCCCGGACCTTGTTGCCCTGATATATGCACAGGTTGAAAATTGCCGTTGCCGCATCTTTCTTGCCTCTTGGGCTCCCGTCGCACAGAAGATTGATGAGTGGAGGTATCGCACCAGCAGCTCCAATAGTTACTTTGTTTTCATCCACAACTGACAGGCTAAACAACGTGGCTGCTGCGTTCTCTCTGGCTTCCATACTCCCTGTTTTCAGCACTTCCACTATCTTAGGAATGGCGTTGGAGTCCACGATGCTTGCCTTGTTGTTCTCGTGGATGGAGAGGTTAAGGAGCGCCGTGACGGCGTGTTCCTGCGTTCTTGGATCGGAAGAGGAGAGCAGATTGACCAGCAATGGGATGGCCCCTGCTTCAGCGATGCATATCCGGTTGTTGACATTTCTCTTGGCAAGCAACCGGATCTCCCCCGCAGCTGCCCGTTGCTCGTCCTGGTTCCCGCCCCGCAGCCTATTCATCAGCGAGACCAGACCAGCATTGTCATAGTCGGAACTTTTCACCGCTTTCTTGTCATGGGAGTTGGCCTTGTTCTTGGGAAGCTCAATGCCATTGGCTTCGCACCACTGCGCTATCAGGCTTTTGAGGACAAAGTTTGGTGTGAGGGAAGTATGCGTTAGGGCCAGCTGCATCTTGGGGCAGGTCTTGTGCCCAGAATCAAGCCACTTCTGGATGCAGGACCGCTCGTACGTCTGAAAATAAGATAATGATCGTTAGGATAAATGTGCTTGAAGAGGAATGACTAGCATCATCGCGTAGAATTCAAACAACCCTACTACCTGACCGCTGGAGACGATGACAGGGTCCTGCATCAGCTCGAGCGAAATGGGGCATCTGAACTCGTCGGGGATGATAGGGGACTTCACAGAGGGAGACCTGCCCACGCCGGGAGCATCGGCGGCGGGGGCCTGGGCGATGACGCAGTCCTTGAGCTTCTTGAGCAGGGAGGACATCTCGTCGACGCAGCCCTCGGGCTCGCCGCCGCTGGAGATGACCATCTCGTGCAGCGCCACCGACTCGCGCTTCATGTCGGCCATGGTCTCGAGCTGCAGCTTCTCCGAGACCCTCATGAGGAGGGCCGGCACGGTTGGCTTGTCGTCGCTGAGCGCCCATGCCAGGTCCCTCGCGAGCTGCGCGTCCGCCGGCTCCGCCCTCGTCGCCGCCCGCTTGAACTGCGAGTGCACCAGCGCCACCTGTGGGGATCAACGGCAGTCAGAACAGAATTGGATTGAGGTGTGAAATCTGATGGGAATTGGATTGGTGTGGCACCTGCTCCTGCACCTCCTCGGGCATGTCGAAGTCGTTGTAGGGCAGCTGGTCGAGCGCGGCCTGGATCCGCTCGTTGACGGCGGCGAATTCGCGGAGGAGGCTGTCCCGGCCTCGCATGGCCTGTGCGGTCGTGGGCGGGCGGGGGAAAAAATCAATCTTTGGGGTGTAGCGGTGGCGGTGGCGGTGGTAGAGGAAGAGGGGGAGAGGGGGTGGGGCATACCTGGTAGATCTTGCTGCCGTGGTGGACGGAGTGGAGGAGGTCGCGGGCGGCGCGGAGGGCGTCGGCGAGCGGGGGCGAGGCGGAGGCGGAGGGGTCGTCGAGGAGCGGGGCGAGGAGGCGGACGCGGCGGGAGAGGTCGCCGCAGAGGCGGCGCAGCGGGCCGCGCGGCTCCGGCAGCGCGGCTATCTCGGCGGCGGCCATGGCGGGGGCGAGGTTTGGGGGGAGAGGAGAGGAGGTCAATGGCGGGCGGACTGGTCCACGCGACGCGGTTCCTCCCTCCCTGGAGATGGAGATGGAGAGTGGGTTTGAATCAGTCGTCCGATCCGGATCCAAGGGCCCACGCTCCTTCGAACTTCACACCACCAATGGAATGGAAGGAATCTTCCTCCCACTCCCTCGCCATGCTCTCCCCCTCTTCCTTCCTTGAAAGTGCTTTTTTGGCATGTTTGGTTGCCTGCATCGAGCCCAACCAGGCCCGCGCGGGAAGGAAGAGGCATGTTTTGTTGCCTGGTTTTCCTGTTGGGTCTGCATCGCACGCTTCTTAAAGCAGCCCAGAGCCTTGCTCGCTGGAAACGCTCTGATCGGCAATTTCTCGTGAGCTACGCTGAGTGCGGCGCGAGGTCGCACGGGCGGGAGCGAGGCGAGGGCGGGGGGGTGGCAGGAGATGGAAATCGGGCGCGCCGTCCCGGCACCAAATTAGCCTCACCCCCCTTTCACTCGCTCACCCATAGCCACTGCCCCCTTTCTTTCCTACTGCCTCACCACCGGCGGCGACTGCGATTTCAAATCTGCGCTATAGACAGCGGCGGCGGCGGCCTTTGCGGCGGATCTGGTGCTCCCCTTGCTGTTGGCCACCGTCTGGTCGACCTTGTCTGTGCCATGGCTCCCCCTAAGCCGTCCTCATCTCCGGTGCCGGTAAGCAGCACCACCCCCCCCCCCTTGTTAGCTCAGTGGTTAGGCCGTTAAGTTGGTGTAGATCGATTTCCCACTGAACGAACCGTCGATGTCGACTAGGTTATGGACACACGGATGAGGCTGAATAATCCAGGCAGCAGCACTGATTAGTGTGGTCCAGGCATGGGTCATGTTCATGCACCAGAGAGCTCTTCGTCGTGTTGGGAGACCTTTGATCCGCTATGGTTCATTGTTTCCCCGGGAACAGGAGAGGATCCAAAATCTGAACTACATCTACAACTGCAATGACGTCGAGGCTCTATGGATGCTTAGGATGAAAATAGCACCATTTGCCAGGCTTGTCGAGACCTTCAGGAGCAGGGGGCTGCTACAAGATAGCATCAACACCAGTGTCGAAGAGCAAGTGGCCATGTTCCTCCATGTTGTTGGCCATAACCAGAGGTTCAATGTCATTCACAACACATTCAGGAGATCAATGGAGATCATCTCTTGGTACTTCAAGCAAGTGCTTTATGCTATTGGGGAGCTTAGAGGAGAGATCAGGAGACCATCTGGTCAGACTCCACCCAAGATTCGCGAAAGCCCAAGATGATATCCATACTTCAAGGTTGAAAGGATCGATATAGTTGACTAGAGGGGGGTGAATAGGCAACTAACAATTTTTAGCTTTTCTTTACCAAATTAAACTTTGCATCAAAGTAGGTTGTCTAGATATGCAACTAGGTGAGCAACCTATATGATGCAACAACAACAAGCACACAAGCAAGCAAAGGATATAACACAAATAAGCTTGCAAGAGTAAAGGCACGAGATAACCAAGAGTGGAGCCGGTGAAGACGAGGATATGTTACCAAAATTCCTTCCTTTTGAGGGAAGTACGTCTCCGTTAGAGCGGTGTGGAGGCACAATGCTCCCCAAGAAGCCACTAGGGACACTTTATTCTCCTCACGCCCTCGCACAATGCGAGATGTCGTGATTCCACTATTAGTGCCCTTGAAGGCGGCGATCGAACCTTTACAAACAAGGTTGAGGCAATCTCCATAACTTAATTGGAGGCTCCCAACGACACCACGGAGCTTCACCACAATGGACTATGGCTCCGAGGTGACCTCAACCGTCTAGGGTGCTCAAACACCCAAGAGTAACAAGATCCGCTAGGGATTAGTGGGGGGAATCAAATTTCTCTTGGTGAAAGTGTAGATCGGGGCCTTCTCAATCAATCCCGAGCAAATCAACAAGTTTGATTGGCTAGGGAGAGAGATCGGGCGAAAATGGAGCTTGGAGCAACAATGGAGCTTTAGGGTGGAAGAGGTAGTCAACTAGAGGAAGAAGACACCACTTATATAGTGGAGAGACAAATCCAACCGTTATCCACTTACTCAGCCCGCGACCTGCGGTACTACCGCAGGGGCTCACGGTACTACCGCGACGGACCGCAGTACTACCGCTGCTACGGCATGAGCTAGTCCAGGCCTGAGCCGCAAAGGCTGAGGGCGGTACTGCCACTGACGCGGTACTATCGCAAGGCTAGAGTGAACTAGCTTGGGAAGGGCACGGATGAATAAAATACATCCGTGCCTACTTCCGCTGAAAATCAAACAGTGCAAAAATCCGACACGGTACTACCTCACTTGGCGTGCGGTACTACCGCGCAGGGAGCAGATGTAAAAAATTACATCCGCCCCTACTTCCACTTGTGTTGCTGTGCTGAACCAGGACTCACGGTACTACCGCGTGCATGGGGCGGTACTACCGCGTAGGGTGCGGATGTAAAAAATTACATCCGCCCCTATGATACGTCCATTTTGCATCATGCTTTTATATCAATATTTATTGCATTATGGGCTGTTATTACACATTATGTCTCAATACTTATGGCTATTCTCTCTTATTTTACAAGGTTTACCATGAAGAGGGGGAATGCCGGCAGCTGGAATTCTGGCTGGAAAAGGAGCAAATATTGGAAACCTATTCTGCACAGCTCCAAAAATCCTGAAACTCCACGGAAGTCACTTTTGGAATTAATAAGAATAATTAAGCGAAGAAAATACCAGAGGGGGCCCACACCCTGGCCAGGAGGGTGGGGGGCGTGCCCACCCCTATTGGGCGCGCCCCTGTCTCCTGGGCCCCCTGGTGGCCCTCCGGTACCCATCTTCTGCTATATGAAGGCTTTTACCCTGGAAAAAATCATAAGCAAACTTACGGGACGAAACTCTGCCGCCACGAGGCGGAACCTTGGCGGAACCAATCTAGGGCTCCGGCGGAGCTGTTCTGCCGGGGAAACTTCCCTCCGTGAGGGGGAAATCATCACCATTGTCATCACCAACGATCGTCTCATCGGGAGGGTGTCAATCTCCATCAACATCTTCACCAGCACCATCTCCTCTCAAAACCCTAGTTCATCTCTTGTACCCAATCTTGTATTCAAACAACAAATTGGTACCTGTGGTTTGCTAGTAGTGTTGATTACTCCTTGTAGTTGATGCTAATTGGTTTTACTTGGTGGAAGACCATATGTTCAGATCTTTAATGCATATTAATACTCCTTTGATTATGAAGATGAATATGTTTTGTGAGTAGTTACGTTTGTTCCTGACGACATGGGTGAAGTTTTGCTATTAGTAGTCATGTGAATTTGGTATTCGTTCGATATTTTGATGAGATGTATGTTGTCTCTGTTGGGGAACGTAGTAATTTCAAAAAAAATCCTACGCACACGCAAGATCATGGTGATGCATAGCAACGAGAGGGAAGAGTGTGTCCACGTACCCTCGTAGACCGAAAGCGGAAGCGTTAGAACAACGCGGCTGATGTAGTCGTACGTCTTCATGGCCCGACCGATCAAGCACCGAAACTATGGCACCTCCTCTAGCACACGTTCAGCTCGATGATGTCCCTCGAACTCCGATCCAGCCGAGTGTCGAGGGAGAGTTCCGTCAGCACGACGGCGTGGTGACGATCTTGATGTTCTACTGTCGCAGGGCTTCGCCTAAGCCCCGCTACAATATTATCGCGGGGGACTATAGTGGAGGGGGCACCGCACACGGCTAAGAGATCAAGAGATCAATTGTTGTTCTGCCTAGAGGTGCCCCCCTACCCCCGTATATAAAGGAGCAAGGGGGGAGGAGGCGGACGGCCTAGGAGGGGGCGCGCCAAGGAGGAGTCCTACTCCCACCGGGAGTAGGATTCCCCTTCTTCCAAGTAGTAGGAGTAGGAGTCAAGGAAAGGGGGAAGAGAAGAGAAGGAAGGAGGGGGCGCAGCCCCCCCCCCTAGTCCAATTCCAACTAGGCCTTGGGGGCGCCCAGCCTCTCCTCTCTCTTTCCCCTAAAGCCCAATAAGGCCCATATACTCCCCGGCGAATTCCCGTAACTCTCCGGTACTCCGAAAAATACCCGAATCACTCGGAACCTTTCCGAACTCCGAATATAGTCGTCCAATATATCAATCTTTACGTCTCGACCATTTCGAGACTCCTCGTCATGTCCCCAATCTCATCCGGGACTCCGAACTCCTTTGGTACATCAAAACTCATAAACTCATAATATAACTGTCATCGAAACCTTAAGCGTGCGGACCCTACCGGTTCGAGAACTATGTAGACATGACCGAGACATGCCTCCGGTCAATAACCAATAGCGGAACCTGGATGCTCATATTGGCTCCCACATATTCTACGAAGATCTTTATCAGTCAGACCGCATAACAACATACGTTGTTCCCTTTGTCATCGGTATGTTACTTGCCCGAGATTCGATCGTCGGTATCCAATACCTAGTTCAATCTCGTTACCGGCAAGTCTCTTTACTCGTTACGTAATGCATCATTTCGTAACTAACTCATTAGCTATATTGCTTGCAAGCCTTATAGTGATGTGCATTACCGAGAGGGCCCAGAGATACCTCTCCGACAAATCAGAGTGATAAATCCTAATCTCGAAATACGCCAACCCAACATGTACCTTCGGAGACACCTGTAGAGCTCCTTTATAATCACCCATTTACGTCGTGACGTTTGGTAGCACACAAAGCGTTCCTCCGGTAAACGGGAGTTGCATAATCTCATAGTCATAGGAACATGTATAAGTCATGAAGAAAGCAATAGCAATACACTAAATGATCGGGTGCTATGCTAACGGAATGGGTCAAGTCAATCACATCATTCTCCTAATGATGTGACCCATTAATCAAATGACAACTCATGTCTATGGTTAGAAAACTTAACCATCTTTGATTCACGAGCTAGTCAAGTAGAGGCATACTAGTGACACTCTGTTTGTCTGTGTATTCACACATGTATTATGTTTTCGGTTAATACAATTCTAGCATGAATAATAAACATTTATCATGATATAAGGAAATAAATAATAACTTTATTATTGCCTCTAGGGCATATTTCCTTCAGTCTCCCACTTGCACTAGAGTTAATAATCTAGTTCACATCACCATGTGATTTAACACCAATATTCACATCTGTATGTGATTAATACCCATAGTTCACATCGTCATGTGATCAACACCCAAAGGGTTTACTAGAGTATGATCATGTTTTGCTCGTGAGAGAAGTTTAGTCAATTGGTCTGTCACATTTTGCAAATATTCTATGTCTACAATGCTCTGCACGGAGCTACTCTAGCTAATTGCTCCCACTTTCAATATGTATCTAGATCGATACTTAGATTCATCTGGATCGGTGTAAAAGCTTGCATCGATGTAACTCTTTACGACGAACTCTTTTATCACCTCCATAATCGAGAAACATCTCCTTAGTCCTCACTAAGGATATTCTCTTAGATCAAAATTGTATTCCTTTGCTAAACTCAGAGCAAGGTATACAATAGGTCTGGTACACAGCATAGCATACTTTATAGAACCTATGACTGAGGCATAGGGTATGACTTTTCATTCTCTTTCTATTTTCTGCCATGGTCGGGTTTTGAGTCTTACTCAACTTCACACCTTTGCATCACAGGCAAGAACTCTTTTTTTGACTGTTCCATTTTGAACTACTTCAAAATCTTGTCAAGGTATGTACTCATTGAAAAATCTTGTCAAACGTCTTGATCTATCTCTATAGATCTTGATGCTCAATGTGTAAGTAGCTTTACTAAGGTCTTTCTTTGAAAAACTCCTTTCAAACACTCCTTTATGCTTTTCAGAAAATTCTACATCATTTCCGATCAATAATATGTCATTCACATATACTTATCAGAAAGGTTGTAGTGCTCCCACTCACTTTCTTGTAAATACAGGCCTTTCCAAAAGTCTGTATAAAACCATATGCTTTGATCAACTCATCAAAGCGTATGTTCCAACTCCGAGATGCTTCCACCAGTCCATGATGGATCGCTGGAGCTTGCACATTTTGTTAGCACCTTTCGGATCGACAAAACCTTTTGGTTGTATCATATACAACTTTTCTTCCAGAAATCCATTCAGGAACACAGTTTTGATATCCATTTGCCAGATTTCATAAAATGTGGCAATTGCTAACATGATTCGGACAGACTTAAGCATTATTACGAGTGAGAAAATCTCATCATATTCAACACCTTGAACTTGTCGAAAACCTTTCGCAACAAGTCGAGCTTTGTAG